TAGCGAGAGAGAGAGAGAGAGAGAGAGATAGATTAATGCAATAAGTTTTAATATCATATATATATATATATATATATATAGAGAGAGAGAGAGAGAGAGAGAGATTAATGCAATAAGTTTTAATATCATATATGAATATGGGTGTCAAATTACTGAGAAAAATTTAATTATTTTTTTGAAGTAATTTGTTTCATTTGAATTTTGATTACATTTCATATTCTTTTTTATTTAAAAAATAGGGTGTGAGAGATTTTTTATTTTAAAAATAAAGTTGTAACCGTTCCTTTAATTTGATGACATCTAATGAATCAATTAATCTAACGATTGATGAAGTGTTTTTCGGGTTTTTTTAAGGTCTTCCCCTGAATCTCTCTCTATATATGGTCAGGTTCATAAAGGAAAAAAAAAAAAAAAAACTCTAAGCAAATGAAAACACGGAAAACCATGAAAATGAATTAAAAAAAATGTGAATATGGATGTAAAATTAATAAGAAAAAAATGATTGTTAATTAATCAAAAAAACTTAATACAAATTAAGTTAATTAATTAATAAAGTTAGTTGTTAGTAATAGCAAATTTTATATATTTTTGATAATAAATTGATATAGAGGCAATTAGGTTCACGACTACTTTATGAGCCATATAATTCGCTAATTGTGTAAGCTTAACATTTGACATATAGGAGACATAAATTAGGATTCTCCATAATGTTGCATTACACTTCAACCTAATTATATCTTTCAATATATATATGGGAGGGATAAAATGCAAACCAATCTGTTTGTATAAACCGAGAAAACCATCGATTTCATTGTTTACTTTAATGAATTTTTTCATGAAATTGTTTAATATGATGATACTAGACCCAAGTTCGAATCGTGTTAGTGTCATTTTCTTAGTCAAATAATACCACAAATTGGGAAAAAAATCTATATATTTGTTTCTTATAGTCAAATGGTGCCATCATTTGAAAAAAAATTCCTATAGTTTTTTCTTATAGTCATATGGTGTCACCGTTTGAAAAAAAATTCTAGGTCCGTTCTTAATTTTAGATATTTAATTATTAACTAAAAACTTGGACAAATACTCGAACCAGAGAGAAGTTGGTCGGACTCATAGAGGAAACCTTTTCAAGTGGCTTCGTATCATTCATGTTCGCAACACTCTACAATTTCAACACCATCAACCATCAAAATCATATCACTTATTCAAACAATAATCTACTGAAAGTTGACATTTCGCTATCAACAAAATCATCCTTGATTTTATTTTAAATTATCGAAATTCCCTGGAAAAAAACCAGCTGTCAATTCACGTTTGTCGCATATGTCAATATACGGGATTCTTCCTAACTTTCGTTATTAAACGGTTTACACGTCGAACCGCGTAAATCCCTCATAATTTCGACAAAAAAACAATGATAAAAGATACCAAACAGAGCTTCTAGCTTTATACAGTTATAAATACAGTTTATTGTTAGAATAATTCTTTTAAATCCTAAAAATTATCTACATAAAAATAAATAAATAATTAAATCTAATTGAAAAATAAATTACACTAAGTTGGTGGATTCTTGAACATGAGGATTACAAAGTAGCCAATGGATTAAAATACAAGCACAAGTTTAGATTCGATTTTTGTGATTGTGAAGAAATAAAATTATAGTTGTTCTTTTGGCATAAAGTTTTGGACGATGATAGGTTTTTTAGTTGTATAATAATATGTCATGAACTGTTCTCGTTAAACATAACAGATCGGTTTACGTGTTAATTACAAAAAATCTGGTATCTTTTCTCGCAGTTGATTTTTGATTTCTGTTGGCCAAAACTCCTGATAGAATTTTCTTTTTATAATTAAAAAAATTCTCTAACAAAAATAAAATATTTAATAAATGTGGTCCTTTTTGTACATGCCATGGTTAGCATATTGGTTGTGTGTCGGCAAGTTTATCTGCTTTTCATTTTGTTTCATGATACGTCGTTAGACATGATGAATTTTCTAATCCATAAATTCACGTAAAGCGTCTCCAGCTCTGAACCAGTAGGACAAAAGAAAATTATTTTATATTTGAAAAGACCCGACACAATAACGTCTTTTTAGATACGATCTTAGATGTCGGGTTTGGCCTTAGCCTTAGGGTTAAGAAGCTAACCTCTCTAATTAATAAGCTAGTTTGGAATTTGAAGTAGGGTTAAGCATTTGTCCAATCTAACTTTCCAACCTTTAATGCTTGATTCTTATGATTGGTTTCCACCATATCTTAAAAGGAACATTTAGCAATCAAATTATCCTCATTCCCATTTCAGATTCAATGCATTGATTTCTAACATTACTTACCAAAATTTCAATTAAAAAGATTGACTAGTTGTGTATCTGCACAATGCGGCGGGAGCTGTGAATTTAACAATTTAGAAGTTTCACTGATTTTATTAGAGAATATTTAACGATGATATGAATTACATTTGATCTTTACATATTAATATAATTTGAATAAATAAGAGTTATGGTTCCAATTACTGTCTATTGACGGAAAAAATTGTATGACGGTTTAATATCCAATATGTTTAAAATCCAACGTATTTAAATGACTCCACAAATGTGTTCAATTTACACCAAGAGCAAAGAATCAAGAGATCGAGAGGGAGACGAAGAGTTCTAGAGCGATTGAATGAGAGATAAATGAGAAAGCTTTTAATAACTCATGGTGAATATCAGTTTGAATCTCACCTTGGGGGATTGGAAGAAGATATAGATGTATGAGAGGGTGAAGACACGAGTAAAATGTTTCAAAAGTATCTTGGGAACATGAAAAGAAAAAAAGTAATAATGTGCATTGGTAACTTGTAATATATGTTATTATAATTGTAGATTAAGAAATTTTAAGACTGAATGCATAAAGTAGTAGTACTTAATGCATTATGAGTTGTTTTTAAGACTTTGTGCATAAATGTATAGTGCTTTGTGCATTAGAAATTGTTTTTAAGACTTTTGATAAATTTGGTTTATAAGGTAGTATAGATAATACCGTTAATGATGATAAACGAAGAAGACAAATCCGATTTTTCTTGTCCACTCGTCACATCGTCATCATACATCCTACTGAAATAGACTTTCTATCAATTTTCTTCGTAATCATTCACGATGGAATAAGAGATTCGTTCGACTTAATTATACTGATCTCTAATAAGAAAAAGGTTTGTTATAATTAGATTTTGATTTCCATATATTTGGTCTATAGGATACGTAATTAATAAATTAATTAAAAAGAACAGTTAGAAAGAAAGAATAAAAGGTGAAAACGATGCAAGTTAGTTTTTGTACAGTATAATTAGGTTTTTGGTTCGATAAAAAAGAATTTGTGCCCTCATAGGATTCCAAAATCCGATACGTCTTTCCGTTCATTCTAAGTGATGCTACGCAAGCCTACAATGATGAAGTTAAATTAGGTCGTGTGAATCTTAATTACAACCTACTTTCGATTCTTTTTTCCCATTTTTTTCATACATACATACATGAGTGAAAATTGCAATGAGTTGGGATGCATTGATTTCCATTCTAAGAAATAATATATGAACTAAATGAAATACAAGGAAATTATTTTGTTATTTTAGATGATTTAATGTATAATAATATATAGTTAGATGTCTTAGAATGTGATATTGACCAAATATATACAACCTTTTATGTATGTATATGTATATGTGTATGTAGTTGGAGGTTTAAATGAGAATACATTTATTTTATGGAAAATATGATAACACCCATATTACATGTGATAATATACGTAAGAGGACCTGGTGGTGTGCAGGTGACTTAACCTACAACCTAAGTCACGTTAAAGGTCGTTTTACATCTGTGATTTAGTATCACATGTGAATATTGACTATAATATAAGGGTGTTCTTGCATTTTTTTTTTTGTAAAATAAAGATGTTTGCGTTTGAACCATTTTCTCTATGTATACGTATATGTATGTATGTGTGTATAGAGGAAGGATCATGCGAGAAATTAAATATTTTGCGAGAATACAAAAATTTTCAATATCGTATGTGATTACATTCATTCGGGTGTGTTTCATCGTATATGATTGAGTGTATATGTTGTCAATGTAACATGTGTTTAATCATATCATGATTAAGCTTATGTATAATCATATATGATATTGAAATTTCTTGTCTTCTAGCAAAATGTCTAGCTTTCCATTTGAATTTGACCTGTAAATATATATATATATATATATATATATATATAATTAGAGTTTGTTTCAAATGCAACTCATCACATTTGTACAACCAATGTAACCCAATAAATTGAAATATTTATGAAAATGATGGGAGTTCATTTATTATGATTTAAATATTTATGGAAGATGAATAATTATGATCAATACTTCATAATTGATCAATACTTTATATTATGAAACTATCAAATTACATATTCATCAAATTAAATGGACGATTGAGATTAAGTTGTATTGATTATACAAATGTAAATAGTTAGGAGAATGTTTACTTAAAATGGAGCGTGGTGAGTGGAGTATTATATATATTTATATGCTTGGAGAATGTTTACTTAAAATGGAGCGTGGTGAGTGGAGTTGGTGAAGGAACGAACGAAAGAAATGAAAGGTGGTTTTTGATTAGTGGTCGGGTACCATGTAACATTGGTTTAAAGTAAGCATTTGAACATCATCCATCCATTGGATTAAACTATTCGAATATTAAAGTTTGCTTTTTGCCCATCTGCTTATCAAACCTTTCATTTCTCACCCCTATGTTTTTTTAAATTACGAATATCATCTCTTTGCTTATATTAACACATCGTATGTTAGCATACTTTAGCATGGCAAAGGTAAAATCGAAATAAAATATATATATATAACATGACTTACCATGAAAATGTTACACGTTCACATAATCAACCTCGACATGCCCAGATGCAAAAAACCAAAAGACCAAAGTACCCCTCCTTTACAAAAACATACGATTGGTCTCCCTTGTATCAAAAGCAACGAGCAGTTGCGCATGGTTCATAAAATGCTGAATCCATATAACATGCTAATTGTCTACAATTGAACCAAATCTTGGTCCATGGCTACATTCCATTACAAAAACATCTAAAGATGCTGATCCAAACCAAAAAAAGGGTTTTCAACAGCATATAAAATATATGCTGCATACAGCTACAAAACCTTTGTCGCTTTACCATAAGCCTACAAAATCCCAAGCATTCTTCCCTGAATGAAGTTTTTATTTGCTCATATGCTATCCTGCATTTTTATAACATATATATATGAAATCAAGAGGAAAACCAACACAAAGATTTTGCGATGTTGCAATTTACATCCTCACTTCTACTGTACCCAACCGTAATGTATTTACATCATTTGCAGCTTCTTCTTCTTTCTTCTAGTTTGAGCAATCTGAGATTGGATCAACTTTGATTACTCGGGTGTTGTATGATCCACACGATCCACACTTGTGGTAAAGCCAGTGAAACGGAGCGCTTCCCTTTTTATCACAATCGTTACATAATATGTCCTGAGTAGCAATTTAAACTCGTTATCAGTCAACCACCACCACCACCAACATATAACAAGAATCCATCGAAGGAAACAAAATCTTTACCTGGCACCGGTTCCTATACTCTTCTGGGAGCTCCTCAGAAGCCATTAAAGCATCAAGCATGCCAAAATACACCTGCAACCCACAAAATTCATAAATCTAATTTCTATCTACTCACACTTCTGAAGGGGAAGTTACAAAAGAAGAAAATCTGGATACACACGCAGCCAATGCAAAGGTTTTGAAAAAATACAATTAAAAAATTCTTCACAAGAACAAAAATATGATTTGCTTGAATTTTCATAAACATGAAACGAAGGATCTCAGTTCTTACTAGAATTAATACTTCATACAAGTTGTATCTTTAATTCTTCTGGTTTCATGTCCTAGTCCCTTTTACTATTATTTGTCTCTAGATATTAATAATGTTCACATACTTTCCCCATCCTTCCGTCCAAGCATACAGAAATTCCCCCACTCCAGTTCAAAGGAGACAAATACACCAACGCAAAGTTCTAAACCGTGCTCAAGACTTGGCTTTTCCCCTAATAAGATATTTAACATATAGGACCATTTATATTGATCCCTAATAAGATTTAGAGTTTGTATCATGTGATCTCAAACAAAATCATCTTGACCCACATTTGTTTAAAACTTTTATGGAAGTCTGATCTTATAATCTAACTAGAGTCCTATGTCTTTCATTCGATGATGCTAAAGATGAACTAATTAATACTCTCTATTTACAAAGTTGTATGAAAGAGGAAAGAATTTTCTTACCGACATATCTCCCATAGATTTGCTGCATATTGGACAAATATAGTGCGTGCATGCATATGCCTGGCATAAGCAAAAAAGACGATAATTCAGCATAAGATGTTTCGAGTATGTGAGAATGAAGATGAAAGAATGTAAAGAGATGCACCTGGAAGCAAGCAGAGTGCATAAAATGACCACATGGAAGTGCTCTGACAGCTGCACTTGATGTAAACAAAAAATCACAGCATATAGGGCAGTTTGTTTCCAGGCCTTTTTCCCTACACTTGTGATCCACCAACTTTATCCCCAAACAGTAGTTGCATGTCATGCAATGGAAGAAGTCAACTCCCAGCCCCTTCCCGAGCCGACATAAATTGCAAAAAGGGCAATGATATACCGTCCTGGAAACATGGACAAAAATTTTGAGATAAGAGATGTGTGAAAATCTTGTTGCTATCAGTTACAAGCAAATTTTATTGTACTACAACAAGTTGGCCTAGCCATATAAGATCTTTTCTATCATCTATTATCCATCACGCATATCAGGCATTTATATTCAATAAGAAACAAAAACAACAAAAAGGAACCTGTTGGAGCAAGTCTCTTCTTTAGCTTGAACATTTACACTCAACGAGAACAAAAAACAACAAAAAGGAACCTTTTGGAGTAAATCACTACTTTTAACCTAGATGATCAACCAATAATTATTTATTTGTTTGTAAATTTTAAGTAAAGAAGGTGTCAATCGACTATCAACACAAATCAGAAGGGGCAACCAACAAAGTAGTTAAATTTCCATCAAGTTCACACCTCGAAAGAAGAACGTGGCACAGAAAAAGTGGTTGTATTAGCAAATGTAAGAGAATTAATAACTTAGAATTAAACTGATCTTTATATGGTCTTGAATTTTACTTGTATTCTGAGTTCAAATCTTTTACTTGTTAGTGATGAGGAGGGTTCATCATGGCAGGTATTCCATGACCAGTGGCCTACTTACAGGAATAACAGTAACAAAGTTTCTGCCTGAACTGGTTGTGGAGTATATGAAAAAGATATAAATATAATCTTAGGAAATTAAAGAAGTCCAAGCAAGGTCGAGAAATAAGACGCACTAAGTAGTGTAATTCTATATTTTAAAACAAAATCCTCAGTCAAATTTCAATCGGTTTTGCCCAATCAGTACCTCCCCTATTACCTTCCTCCTGGCATGATCGACATAGGCATACGAATAGATCAATTTAAATAACCTTCCATATTTTTTTCTAAGTAGTGACCTGCTAGTGCAACTGAAGTCTGTATTAGACCTTTGTGAATTTAAGCAGCATTATAATGGAACTTCCAACTCAATGTAAAGAAATTGGCAGAGAGGCAGATTAAGTTATCTTCATTTGATAAGTGAAAATGTTTATTACGGGATCTTACACGCCCAAACCACATGTTGCAGGGTTGGGTTATGGTGAGAAGGAGAGTTAAGGTGAGAAGCATAAGAAGGAACCTCCACCGTTCAATGCACATTAGGATGAGATGCACCGAGATGCACCGGACCAATCCCCGTAATCGCGATTCATGGGTGGGTTTGAGATTAAAGGTGATCAAGGGTCTAGATCCCTTCTTATGCTTCTCACCTTAACTCTCCTTCTCACACGATCCTTCGCCCATGTTGTATTCCTTCCTTGAGATGTTAGATTTCAAATCATGGGTGTAAATATTGATTGATCACGACATAGATATTTGTACTTACCTTCTAAACAGTTGTCACACAAATGTGGTAGCCTATACATATCAGCAAACTAACTAAAATCATATATACCTACAGACATGCACACCTACCCCCATTTTCATAGGAAGAATAGATACAACCCTAGGGCAGTCTAGGAGCAGAAAGTAGACATGTACCAGGTAAAGAGTTCAAGGATAGTTCAATCACCTTTCGTCATCAAAGAATTTGCAATAGCTACAATAGTATTTTGCCATTGAAAGTCCGTTGCAAGATGGCGTTGAGCAAATTGGTCCAACAGGCTGAATTTGCAGACAGTTCATACACATCATTTCTGTTGTAGCTTTCCTGATGATGAATCATTAAAAAGTAAATTAATTGAACTAAAATGTAAAAAATATAATCAATGAAAAAGGGTTACCTATCCATCGTGTGGTCACTGACGTTGTCATGGCAGAACCTGCATGTATATAGCTTCTGACAACAAGCAGCTCGAAGCTTGCAGTTGCGCTTATAATGCTCGCAACCAAACACTTGTTTCTCTGCGTCCCGAAATGAAGGCGAGCATCCAAGTAGTCCTTCACCATCTGATGTTTCGCCTTTTCTTCCTTGAGGTAACTTCTGCTGGGCTGCAATCCAGCGACTACAATGACCATTAGATAAATAAGTCAACAGGAACGCATCTTATTACAGAAAATGCGTCAAGCAAACAAATGAAAAACACCAAAAAATCAAGGAGAACTAGAATCAAGAGTAACAAAGATGAAACACACCTGGTCAGAAGGTTCTGAATGAGATATGCCTTCCTTCTGGGATCAAGAGTCGGATCCCTAGAAACTTTTCTTATCTCGGACTCGAGCTCATTTTGATTCATACGAAATATATCTTTCCACCCAGGCTTGAAGGTATAATCATTTGGATCCAAAGCTTCATGTACATCACTACCTAAAATATGAATTTCAATTTGAGAACAAGAAATATATTTAGATTTTGTCGTAGTGTGCACTTAAAGATATGCTATTGAAGTCAAAATGAAACGAAGTTGACTGCTACACAAAATCCAAGCAATAAAGAAACCTTGTGAAATGTTTTTCTCTGATGCTGATGCCTCTGAAGATGGAGAAGCTCCTTCCCACCATTCATTAAGCCACTCTGTGAACATTGTGTTTTTGGTTGCTTGCTTCCATGTGTCCATCATTCTGTTCTGTTCCTCCTGAGTAAGAACAGATGTTACCCATGGCAACATTGATTGTAGCACCTCTGCCCCTGTAGTACCAATTATTCGGCCAACAAGCTTATCCTGCTCCTCCACGGAAAAATGTCTATCAAACAGAGGCCAGAGTTCAAGTTCTTCTCGCAAAATATGCTGATCCAGGGTTACTCTGATGGATTTACACATGCCCTGAACCTTTGTGGCCAGCTCATTGTAATTTCTTAAAGTATCATTATAACTAGAAGAAACAGAATTGTTTTTGCTAGAACATCTATTAAGACTTGTTCGATTCAAACTGTCATGAAGTTCACAAAGTTCAAAAAGTGAAGTTGATATATCCTCAAACAGCTTTTCTTCCTGCTTGTGGTCTAAGGTATATGAGTGACTAACATTATGGAGAGTTTCTTTTGATTCTAATGCAGGAAACACAATGTCATCCTCTGCATTGCTGTGAGCTCTATATAAACCCCATAACAAACGAAATCTGCCATTAAACTGGTGGAGAAAACTCTCATTTGACTCGTTTAGCTTTCCAGATTCAACATCCAGGAACTCCAAATCTTTGCGAATTGCTTTATGAAATTTGAAGATGGTATCAATCGGCCGTCCAGTGCCCTCAACATCAATTAAGCTAATACCAGTTTCCCAGTTAAAAAGACTGGAACTAAAGGAAGGAGCAGAAGGGCCAAAAGATAAAGAGCGTAAAGATTTTGCAGATGCAAGAGAACTTGTTCCCAAATTGTTACTATTCATTCCTAGCCCAGGAACACAACAAGATTGTTTACTGCAAGGCACTTGAATGGTTAGAATTTCTGGAGTACCAAATCCATTGCTTTCTTTCTGTGAAACTGAGTTGGATCGTTTGCTTGGCCTTCTACTTTCATCAGTTTCATCAATCACTGTAGCATCCTGGGTTGTCAGCGGGTTGCAGGCACAGAAAGGTGGATCACAACTATCATTGCCTTCTAAAAATGCTTTTGCAGGACAACAACCCGTAGCACCAGAAGACAAACATATTTCCCTTGGGCGGCCTTTGCAAGCCCAACCGGAGAAGAGGGTAACAAGTGCAATGTCTGAAGCCGGGGCTACCAAAACACCATGAATTAATTAATAACAAAGAACATACCAGGGAGAAATCATAATTAAGAAGATAGACAAACCTGCCATGTGCATGTTATGAAGAAATGATTTTGCTTCCTCTTCGGTAAGTGATCCCACCAACCATGGTAAGACGCACTCGATTAATCTCAAAGGCATCACACACAAGCTTTGATATAGAAGCTCTCGCTGTCTTTTGGGACTAAAATGTTTGCGGGCAAGTGGGAGAACCTGCAAACGCAACTTACATGGTTAAGGGCCTTATGGTATAAGGAATTTCAATTGCATGTATCCTTTTTGGTGAAAGCATTCTTTGTTAACAATTCTGACGCCACTTTGTACTTGTACATAGAAGTAACATCTGGCCTATCAGAAACCAACAGCTTACCTGAAGTTCTTCATTTTTGAAATGCTTATCAATGATAGCCATTATATGATCAGCATGTGAGCACAACTTCGAACAAAATTCAGATGAAGATGAGTTTGCTCCATCATTTTCGATACTTTCAATCAGGCATCTAAACTTGCCAAATTCACTCTCTTCTTCTGCATGCTCCTGGGCAAAAGACAGTTCCGAATCTACAGCAGGGAATATAACTTTATCTTCTGCAATACTGCACCCAAGATGTGAAAAATAAGTATCGATGCAGATGCACCATAGAAGCCCAAGACACAACTTTAACTCTGGAGCTCTCTAACTTGGTGAAAGAATAATGATCAAGTTTGTCAGCTTACATGACAATGAAATACTATATTTGCCAAGTCCATAAAATTTATTATTAAGATTCCAACTTTTTCATTTAGAATATGGAAGAAAATATAAATGCTAAGATGGGTCTTTTATCAGATGAATAAAGAACAATCAAGTATCAAAAGAAAACAGCTGGAAATGAATGGAGAAAATAGGAAGCACTGCTTAGCCATTATACATAATTCTACAAAATGCACTGGTGATAAGATATACATCAAGTTAACAAAATAAAGGAGGTAACTTTAGAAATGATAACATGGGTAAAATTAAAGACAGGCTTGGATTGCAACAGAACATGATTTTGCATTGGAATAAATAATAGAAACATATTGCATGTTCAACACCTTCGAAAATGTAGCTAAACTTTCTGAAGCTACATTTGGTGGCTTTCATTCTCTAAGATAGCTTATATGGTATTCATGATTCAGTTTGGTGGTTATATCATATATGTTCTATGTTTGTAAAAATATATGTAAATCATAAAAATTTCCCAAGGGATACGATCCATTACCCAAGTAGTTTCAAAAAAGCTTGTTAACTCGAAAAAACGGGTAGAGCCGAAGTTCTATTCTCCTGCTACCGTATTGCTGCTTATTGGCACTTATCATTTGCCAGGAAGTTCTTACTAAGACAAATGCATCAGCACTCAAGTAGGCTACTCTTTTCCCTGACTACAATATTTGTTCCAGAAATGGCATGTGTGGGGGAAAGGATGTTACGTTACTATACCTGTGGAATATGCAAACTTCTGCAATAAATTGCAGCCTCTTATTAAATGCAGATATATCTGAAAAATCTCCAGATAATTGTATCCTTCTAGCTGCATCAGCTATATCAATTAATTCCTTCTTTATAGCCTTGTGCCAGTGCAATATTTCATCCACTGGACGATCAAGAGGTGAATCCATGGAATCACATATTGACCTCAGGAATGATTCTCGTTTTTTTGCTCTGGAAGATGAACATGCACAATGTCGTTCCTCACTCTGACAAATTAAAGAGCTAGCACCAGAATTTGGAGAACACTGATACTTGGCATCATCTTCAGAATTTTTGCGCTTCTTAAAAACATTGATACCGTCCATCCAGGTGAATATAATCTTAATTACGAAAAAGAACACTGTCAGACAGATGTGAGTAAACGAGTCTTTTCATAGGAGGTTCAGTGTCAAGGAAACCTCACCTGTTGAAGAAGCTTTTCTTCTGGAATTATTCTGCATAAGGAGCTACGCATCTCCTGACGCTCTTCAGAAGATATGGAGGCTGAAAGCCATGGAAGGAACTCTGCCATCATGTTCACAGGAATGCTACACAAAAATTGCCAAACTAACGAAGCTTGCTCCTCAAATGAAAACTTCTCAACAAGCAAGGGTAACACCTAAAGAATTAGAGGCAGCACACTTAACACTGATGAAAGATAAATAAGTAAGAAAAATACAATTTTCAGGTAGGTTTACTTAATACAAGGATCAATCTGAACATATCACTGTATTTCAGGAATTGCCCAAGAAAGTACAGTGGGTCCAAATAGAAAAAACACAAGTGATGCCACAGTTTTCTCTGCAAGCATTAATGTTCTAAACATCAGAACAAACTTATAAACAAAGCAGCTGCCGTACAGTTGCACATCACCACATCATAGATGCAAGTCGTTGACATGGAGTCACCCTGCTTAACTATAAGGTAAAGAACATCATGAATATATTAGCAGGCTATATGCACATGCCAAGTGCAGATGGCAAATGTTTTTAATTTGTGTAGGGAAACAAAGAATAGTCCATCTGATGTTAGTACTACCCTTCTTTCCATAGATATATCAACAAAAAAGACATGATATACAGAGTAACACTAATCCTTGGTTTTTTCGGACGTTTTCTAGGATCAGAAGGAACCGATCTTCCACTTATTTGATGGGCTGGTTAAGAGTCCTTCAAATATAGTTCATCCTGTTGATGGTATTTACTAATTCATCAAGCAATTCCTCAATTATTGGGATGGCCCAAGAACACACTCATTCTTCAGCCGTAGAGAGACTTTTGAATTTTTCTTTTTGAAACAGTCGAAATACATGCACCCTGTTAGCAGCAAATCCTGAACCCACAACCACTTGTTTCAGAGACCCCGTTAGTACATATAGGGCCAAAGGTTTGTCAAACTAACATTAATCTTGATCATAATCAATACATTAGCTCTTCCACATAACAGGAAAACAAGAACAAATAAAACATACTAAACACGAAAGGAGAATAACGTCAGGAAACTTAATTGCCACATATAACTTGCTCAGAATTATTTTATTTTTTTTATTAACCTGGATATCCAACCCGCTATGCGAGCCGATTAATCCCAGGATGACCACCTGCTTTGCAGATAGCCCGGAGTCACCGCATTCCGTGGCCACAAGGGGATTTTTATTCCTCCTTGGATTTAAACCTGGGACCTCCTGGTACTTTTGACCTTTGGAGCCAAACTCAAACCAATCAGGCACCACCCTTGTGGTTACTTGCTCAGAATTTGATATATAGATGCCCAGCCTTCATCAATAGAAACAAACCACAGGATATCTTCTACAATCATTTTACACCAGAATATCTCAGGTCTAAAAAATTTCTCACGCGTTTTTCGGACATTGGGGTGTTCATTGAAACAACCTCTCTACTCTTTGGAGGTGGGTCAGGTATGCGTACATCCCCACCCCTAGACCCACCTCCTTGTGGGATAGACAGGCCAGTTTCGTTTGGTTTAATTTGGTTTCGTTTATTTGACACCAGGATATGAGACTCTACATTTATTTAGTTTTACTAGGGTGGACCTATTTTTATGTCCAGGATGTTGTACCTAAAAGTAAGAGATATATTGCAACTTCAACATAAATGCTTTAATGAACTTGTAGTTACCATGCATCCAAGTCATATGTATGCACATTGCAGGTGTACACATTTTGATTCGCCACAATTATATAAATATATATGTGTGTGTGTGTCACCAGTCCACCGAGACTCTTAACATGACTTTCCGTTCGATAGTTATCAGAGATGTACATTGCTGGCAATAATCAAGCAAAGATCAAGGCATTATGCTGTTACAACAGAAGTGCTAGTAAAGAGCATTACCTGCTCCTCCTCTTTAGACATGTGCTGGCTAATTGATGTTTGAAGGGCTCCGGTGCAGGATGCCAATTCTCTCCTAAAGTTTTCTTCATTTTGCATATTTGAATCCAATAATGCAAACAGTTGATCAAAAATGACACTTTCTCCCTCATGTTCGAGAGAATAAGTTCGAGCCACATTCTTGACACGGATATCAAGAGCTGGAAAAATAACCTGCCAGTACAAAAGAAATAACCATGTCATAAACCCACAAATCTTAAGCAACATAGCACCATATTATTAGCATAGTAAAGTATCAACTACAATCACTCTTTCATTCCAAAGAGTGAAGTGAGGGAACCATTGCATGTAATCCTAGTCCCCATGTTCAAGAAGTTTTGTGGTCATAAACCAAATTTCGGAAGAGAACAATTTCAGAAGAGGTTAGGTATCAATCTTCATCTATGTAAAGCGTTCAAGCTCAAAATAAAGATTTAGCACTGCTCTAATCAGTAAGATGCATGGACTCCATGGAATCTTTCCACTTCTAGTGCAAGAAGAAGACATTTTGCCATACTAACATGGTAACTTTGCAGTAATATGAAAAGTTTAGTATCTTTCCACCGTGTAGAAAGTGTGCATCCATGCAACTCCCTTTAACCAACTGTCTTTTCCACAGACCCACTGGAGCAATTGTGTTAGACCATTTGAAATCAAGCCATAACAAACACAAAGTACTACATGAAAGTGCAATTCTACCCCTTCAAAAAGTGTAATGGCTATTTATAGAAGTTCCTTCAAGAAACCACCACTAAGCACGTGCAAGTGAACATGGTTCTTTAGGTAAAATATTATAAATAGACCCCTGTTATTTTGAGGTCATATCTAGTATTCAGAGATATTTTTAATTCATCATTTATCACCATTTCTGTACATTCAATGTACTCTACGGATTCTAAATTGTAACCAAGCGTCGCCTATTGGAAAGTTGCATGCCATTTTCCAAATAGAGATCAAAGAAGTAATTTGTGGTTAAAATGTAGTTATCACAGAAGGGCATTTTCAACGGGTTGGATCATGGATGTAAAATTACCAAACCCGATTTGCAGAAGATAAATCTTCTTGTAGTAAAAAAAAACCTATGCTTTAGATCATTTTTGCAATGTCTATAAGCAATCACTTTTCATATAATTAAAAGGGACTCAACTGGTTACTGATGCTTTATGGTGATTGATTACTTGCTAGATGCCAAATAAAGATCAAAACAATGAACTGAACACGGTCCTATTAAGTCCATCACTGCGTAACAGTATTTCTGGCAATAACAAACTACCAAACAAAAATAAAAGGAATACCGCAGTAGAGGTGAGCACATTTAGACAATATAGTGGCTTTAAATCTGAACAAGGAGCGACCATGTGTCAGACAAGTAAAGGTTGTACGTATATTCAGACAGTTCAGAAACCAACCATTTTAACTGTAAGTCACTCAGTTCCACAAGAAGGATTGTTTATTAAGAAGGCTTGTCAGTAGCAAGTGGATATGGCCTCCTACAGTAGCAATGATAAATTGAAGAAAGGCGTATCATAAAGCCCTCTGTCCAGAAACTTCTCTTTTTTTCTGTTTCCATTTATTTAAATTCAAGCCCTTAAATTTTTCCCTAAATTAGTGACTCAACAGAATATGACGATCCCATGCCAAGAATCCTTATAGTTCAAGTAATTGAAGTTTGATTCTCAGAGATCCCTTAAATTTGCTGTTGAAATTGAACATATTGTGTTATTAATCATATTCCCTTATTCTTACCTAGCTAGAATCACAACCAAGTTTTTAGGGATCAGTTGAAACCACTAACTTTTGCAAATCAATCGCTCCTGACATGACAGAGGCCTGCCCTACAAGTTAGTTTGCAAGATCACTAAATCACAGATCAATAGAACACCGCCAAGACGAATGAGGATTTGATATATTTTGGGTAGCACCACTATACAAGGACTGAGGGATAGATGAGTTGATATGTATTACAAACAAGCACAAATGCATTGAGAGAACATCATATATGATATTGACATGCTAAGTCCGGACAACCACTAACTAGACCTTGAAGATAAATTTCCATTTAACCTTCTAGTCAAATATATGTCGAGGCAATCAGTAACAAAGTAACACTTCTAGTTTTTCCTTTTTTTTTCCTCTGACACATGGCATAAGACAACAGGCCTGAGCCTTGGAGGCTTGGAGCAACCGTGAAGATTACTCCTTTGTGTTTTGGAAGGCATGGATTCCAATCATGGGAAAAGTGTCACAGAAAAGGAGATAAAAAAGTGGCGTCTAAAAGTTTCCCTCCTTAACAATCTGAAAGCCAAGTCGTCTTTGTGCAACAGGATTCCCTTTTCCATGTACGATAAAGCTTCATTAACCATATTGCCAAAGAAGCAAATGGACTCATTGATAAACAGCCCATGTACTAATAGCATTATGCAACATCATGATCATTTAGAGAATCCAGAAATAATTAACTTATGTATCTTAGTGGCATAAAGCAATTTCTAGACATCTAGCAGGAATTGGCAAACCAAGCATGCAATTTACAAATTTTCACATGAGTTTACAATTTGACGTAAAATGCTTCAAATGCCAAAAACATACCAAATTAAGCTGTGAATATTTTTTAGGGTCTCAATTTACATTGTTTTAGTGAAGAGCATCCACATCATGGAACCACATCATTGTTTCTTATATTCATCTCCAGAGTTCAAACTGTTTGTAGTTTGCAGAAGGACTGTCTTGCCAATTGCCATTAGTTTACAAAGGAAGAGTATCATTTATAAGAGGATTCTTATAGGAGGGAGTAAAATTAGTCAACCATAAATCCCCAGCAGAACCAAAGATGCATTTATACCACTAACAAAATGCCAAAAATCTGTACACATGTTAAAGTTGAAGACTTGAAGGACATGACCTAAAATCAAAGATATATGAACTAAGCTGATATTGCATTAAATATTAGCATGCAATAACAAGTAATAACTTGAATATGATAAATAGCAGCCACCTGGAGGTCAAAAGACAAAAAAGAATATATGGATCATTCTTCTTAATTGAAGAAACATAGATCAATTTATCTGCATAGAAGTTATAAGCTACTAAAAGTATTTACCACATGCAGAAATCATATGTAAAACGCGAAACCAACTCAAAAAAATATCTGCAATTAACAGAGTTATGGAAGTACCCTATGAAGCATCCATACTTGAGTTAGAGTGCCATATCAACACTGGGTGTGAATTCAGTATGGCCATATATGCTGTGGGTGCACACCCGTTTACTAAATAAAAAATAATAATAACTTGGATAAGATTTAGTTCAATCGGGTGCAGCACCAATCCAGCTCAAGCATGACTCATATCATATGGCTTGGCTGCGGATGAAATACCAGATGACTTTTTTAAAGGTTTTGGTTAATATGTTCTCGTTTTAAGTTCTATTTACAAGGCTTACAATGCTTTCAATTTTGAAGAGAAAGAAAATGCCTCAAATACTTGGACATCTTATACCATGGTTCTAAAAACATAAAACATTTACACTCAGCCTGCAAACGCTTAGGGTTTTGACATTCTGTTTTCTGCTTCTCTCACCTCTTCTTTAATTTCCCATTCCTACGTTCTCATTTTCCCTGCTTGTTGGATATGCTATATGCCTTCTCTTCTCTTCATTTCTCAATAATTTTTAGGCTTGTTAATTGTGTGTTTGTCGATTATGGTATTCCAATTGGCTTTGAGCAATTCTTTTAATGCATTATTGCATATCTGTTAAACAATCTGACGTAATTCTTGTTAAGTGATTATTTTGTTTTATTTAATATTTATGTGTGAACATATATGTGCCAAAACCAGCATGCACCTGTTCCCATGCTTCTAAGAAGTACCTATGTTCATAGCAAAAACATTAGTCAGACAATAGATCAATTAAAAGGTTAATTAAAGATTAGAAGTCCCCCTCCCGCTGAGTTCACCCCAATATCAACACGTATGGGTTAAACAAGCAAGAAACATCCCCTTGAACACATAAAAACAATGGCTGCAAGTTAATGAAAAGGAGAACAAAACTTAGCACCAAACAATATCACATACAACTCAACAAGCTGATGGGCAGGCAGTGCCATATGCTGGTGGTTCTTTCTTGATCAGTTAGCATATGTCAAGATTGGTGTGTTGATTGTTTGGTCTCTCTCTCTTTAAGTCTATATTCCATTTGTACTTCTCTTTTAGTAGTAGTCTAGTAGAAACACTTATTGCTTTTAAGAAAAAGATATAAGAACCAACTTATCTTGGCATTATGCTATTTATCTAAGGCTGCCCACAAGAACGGTCTTTTCATTTGTACTTCTCTTTTAGTAGTAGTCTAGTAGAAACACTTATTGCTTATAAGAAAAACATATAAGAACCAACTTATCTTGGCATTATGCTATTTATCTAAGACTGCCCACAAGAATGGTCTTTCTGGGTTTCATGTAATGCAAAACCTAATGTGAGCCAGGAACAGTTATAACCTCCATATGCCATTAATGCTCATTATGAACTTCCTAAGCTTGAACTTTTCTTTTTATATAACGATCATCACTCTTCCTACCCAGAAATATGATCAACACTAAATACGGCGTAACCATCTTAACTGACTTTCTCCCATATCATCTTTAATAGGGCTGCTTCAGAGTTTGATTCTTCATTTCAGAATTGATCTATTCTAGTCTTCCATGGTATTTTACCTAAAGCATCACCTCTTTGATTCGTTCATCCCCTATTTTTGTTTCTGAGCTGCCCAGAATCCGTGATAGGCACATAGGATTCCCTTAAACTCATGAGGGTGAACTGACACATAAAACTTCTCAGGCATTGACCAAGCCCATACAGATTTAATGCTGCCAAATATGTCCTGTTGTCCAATATCTCCCTCCTAGTTGATCCAGAATTGGGTGCATCATGAAGATTAACGAACCATTACGCACTGTTTGCAAGCATTAGCCCTAAGACTAGTGCAGCATCTCATTTCTTCTTCTCTTATTTTCTCATATCGTCACCACCATTCTATCTAGCACCAACTCCAGCCTATACTCCTCCAAATAGGCTATTAGTACCATCAGAAAGTAACATGCAACATATCTTGTACATTTCTACTCAGTCCATCAATCACAAATGCAAATATGCACAGATTGGCATCCCTCTTGTACAAACTAGTAAGTAACTGTTTCCTCTTTATTTCAAACTTTAGTTTGATTAAAAAAAACATCATAAATGCATCCTTTTTCATCATATACCTCATCTTGAACCTTCTTTTCGTTTTTTGGCTATCAACCACAAGTTATTTCTCAAATTCTCAAGTAAGATAGACGGTAGAGATGAGTAAATGGACCAGTATTTCAAACGAGGTCCATTAAAAGGGACATGAATTTTAAACGTACAAATAGAACGCCACAGATTTCATCTGAAAGACTGAAACATACCATCGTCTGGACATTATCAAACGCACACTCGGAGAAAGAAAAATAAAACTTATATGATATAAAATCCAATAAATTTATAGCGATTTGCTCTAAAAATAAACCAATTAAGACCATTTGTATACAGACCTCGTCTTCGGCATTGCAGTGGTGCTCGTAAATTGAGCGAAGAAAGTGATACCGCTTGAGCAACGGCTCAATTTCCACATGGCAATTAGTAGCAAAATCGATGGCGGAGCGGTGTAGGGCATCGAGCTCCGACCTTATGGCTTTATGAAAGAACAAGAAGATATGAATTGGCGAGGTATGTTTCTTGGAAGGTTTGTTATTACTAGACGGATCGATCTGGTTCACCGTCCCTCCTCCGGAAGCCGCCATCACGGCCACACCACCTCCTCCTACGTCACGATGTTGCAATCCAGTCAATGGCGTCGCCATTATATACAAGAAAAACTTCCACAAAAATTAAAATCAATTGAGATAATCCGATTCAGATTTTCACAAACCCTAGATGTTTCCAATATTATCAACAACAATCTTTCTCTCTCTACTTTCTCTCCGAGGGAGAGAAAAGTACGAACGTAAGGAAGATGGGTAAAATTTCGATGGATAAAGAGGGAACAATTTATGGTGTGCCACGTGGATAATGGACGGGTCATAAGTGGTAGGCCACGTGGACAATCGGGTATGAGTAGACCCGAGTGAGGTTTTGTGGGTGGGGAGGTGCATGGCACGTGCGAGGAGGAGTTGTGCCTGGGCCTGGGGTGTTTGGTTATCGAGTCGGCTTCCACCAATCACACGTTAACAGATTTATCGGATGAGGGATAAGATCGTAAAAAAGGAGTGGAGTCAAGTCGCTTGCCACACCTCTTTTTTACCCACTCTTCCTCCATTTCATCATTCTAATTTATCACTTGGATTTTAAAAAATAATATAAATTATTAATCATTTCAAAAAATAATATAAAATATTAATTTATGACAACTTTTATTTTAAGATTTTTGGTTTACTTATTTTAGTGACGGATCTAGAAATTTAGGGGTTGTTTACTATCCGTTTACTCGATAGGTGTTTATCAGACAATTTTTCTCATTGGACAATAATGACAAGACACAAGAATCTTACCTGATAAGAGCGATGATGAGAATAGAAAGTCTTACCTGATAAGTGAGAATGATGACTCTTACCCGGGTAAGCGCTTATCATATATATTGTTGCACAAGATACCATTTTGATATACTGCAATTTTACTTATAAAATAAATTATAATATTGACTCCTAACGGTAAGCGCTTACTGGATAAGCATTTAGGTAAACAGCCCCTTAGATGACTGGGTCCCTAAATATATAAAAGATCCTAACCCGAATAACTCATCCAAACGAAAATAGTTTCGGGTTATCCGATTTGCAAGTTAAACGGTTCGGTTAACAAAATAAGATGAGTTTCGCTTTTGGTTTTTTTTGTACCATATCGGTTAACCGAGTAACAAATTATACTATTAGTTAATTTATATAATTTTCTTCCAAATGAATTGATTGTCTTTTTTTTATCTAAGTATAGTATTTAATATATTGGTCAACATATATTTGTTTCATAATGTGTTTGTTTCATATGTATTCGGTTCACAACATAAAACTATTTTACATGTATTTTTTGTTTCGAAAACACACCAAAATGATTCACAATGTGATTTGTTAACAGCATACATGTAAAACAAATATATGTTAATCACTACATTAAATTCTAACCATAAATGAAAAAAAAAATCATATAAAATAATACATGATACGCTAGTTCTCAAATATTTCATTATTTAGATAATTCTCAAAACAAGGTTCTTAAATCTAGATGTATATGCAACAAAAATCTTGTTAGTGTTTGAAGTTAGGTACATACATCTAAGCGATTGAAATTTGGTAAATATGCTATACGAAAACCACTTATCGTGTAGGTATTTCTTAATTTTGTCATTTAGCAAGCATGGATAAAGCACTTTCCTTAAATACTATAAAGAGATTAAATACAATGAACAAAGGCGATATACATAAGATGTACAAAAGGGAGATGGTGAACGGAAGACGAAAACCACAAAACCGAAGGATGCACACAAATGTTACTGAAACCAACATAACATGCCATCGAAGAGTAGTAATAGTCAATAACGGGCATAATTTGGTTAAGACATCCATGATTAAAAAGAAAAGAACAGTAAGAAGGGAACCTATAGAATTGTGAATCACCAAAAATACCTAAAAGGGTAGAGTTTGTTATCATGCAAATGACGTTTTGTGTGAATAAATCAGATTAGGACACCAAATAGGTCGATGTCATAGACTCGATATAACTAATGCAAATATCTGGGGGAAAGAGAAGCAAATATATAGTACTATTTACGGAAGTTTGAGTTTCGTGTTAATGTATCCCCATATATAAAAAACATGTTTCAGTGTTCAATTACTGAAAATTACATTTAATATTCTTCTATTAATGTTCTCTGTTTTCTCTTTATCTGTTTTCTATTTTCTTCTTCCACATCACAGGTTCATTTATTAGTATGTTAAATCTTGGTTTTTAAACACGACCCCGAAATTTTGGGACCTAATTTTATTTGTGCTTAGGGTTGGATTTATATAACCCAACTTGTGAACACACCTCAAATAAGACCTATCTAATTTATTTTAAAATCAAAAGGAACTATTTAATTTCAAAATTTTCCTATAAAAAACGATGCTTTAATATTCTGTATGCTTTCTCGTTTTAAACATTTTTACTGTTTTTATTTGTAAGATTGTTGGTATAATACGAAATTTTATATTTTGTTTTGTTTATTACTCATTTCAGACTAGTACGACTGCAACATTTACAAAAAAATGGGACGGTGTTACACATCCCATCCAATGACAACTACCTAAAAATATTGTGTATTGTTGATAAATGAGTACAGTATTGTTAACTATAGAATCGTGTGAAGTAAACTTAAGTTAGATATAAATACGTTTGTTTCTTACACTGATATTTGAAAAATGAGTGATAATTATCGTAATACAAAATAAAAAATGAGTGATAATTATCGTAATACAAAATAAGAAATGATTGAGTGGCTGTCGAATTTGATAAGGTTTTCGTTGTAATGTTTTTCGTTAATATAAATTAAAAAATAATCAAGCAATTATTGAATATCCATCGAACACATTGAGTATTGTGTTGAGATAAATATGTAGTTTTTTTTATGTATGTGAAGTATTTGTTTAATTGAACGCAATTACTCATTATAAGCTATAAAAAACAACCAAGTAAATATCGAACGCTTGACATGTCAACAATTATGTTACCTCTTGTATTTATTTCCCCAAAATTTGACGTTATTTTTTTCTTGAAACGTCTGACATCCAAACTCGCATTTGATCACTGTTGTCCATAATCAAATACATATCGAACATTATCGAGTGAGTATTGAACCATGAAGAACCTCTATCGATCTCCTACTGAGCAACATCATTAGAAAACACTGACAAAAAACACCTGACTTTGGGTCCAAAAATACCACATAACATCAACCAAGGCCTTAGGGCCTTTTCAGTGTTTCACTACCATTAGATCGTATAGACGTTTTGTTACTTCAATTACATGTCATTCATCTTCAACGTTTTCCGTTCATTCATCCTCAAACATTAAGAATTAGAATGATATCAACAATCTCATTCATCCTCAAACATTAAGGGATGGGGAAAACAAGGTTTTTAGGGAAGAGGGTATTTTGGGAATAATTTGGAAGAAAAAAATATTAAGCATAATTTTTCAATATTTAATTATTAGGATATATATGTTTTTTTGTTAACCTGGATATTCAACCCGTTATGCGAGCCAACTAATTTCAGGGCGATCACATGCTTTGCATATAGCCCGAAGTCACCATATTTGAACCTCTGTGGTCACAAGAGAATTTTTATTCCTCCTTGAATTTGAACATGAGACCTCTTGATACTTTTGACCTTTGGAGTCAAATTCAAATCAATCAGACACCACTCTTGTGGTTTATTAGGACACATTTGTAACCTATGAGAATGTATTATGCATACAAACTCAAATTATCCATCATTCATCTATTTTTTTCTACTTTTTCCTATTATAACATATATTACGAGTTTTCAAATACTTACATATAATTATTTGTGTATGATGTTAAACGACTAAGGATTTGTTTATTAAGGTGGTGTTTGTTTTTTAAAAAAAACTCTTATTTTACCACTTATGTCTGATTCGGTCAGACATAAGGCAATTCAGACTGTTTGTTTTTCTTTTTATTTCAGAGCCACTTATCACTTATTTTTCTCTAAAAAATTAAATGATAACCTAGCTACTTATTTTTCTCTTAATCCTGAAGACTATCCAGAGAACCGAATTCTACTTCATCATTCGATCGACTTCACCCTCCTTACTGTCTCAACCGACCGACTTCACCCTCCATCGCCTCTGGTGGCTTCAAATCGACCCAAATCATATCCAAATCAATAGGGTTTTCTTCTCTGTGGGTTTTTGCCACTGTGTGTTTTCGTTCCTGTGCAAACCAGTAGTTGTGCACCTTTATCCTTGTGAATCAAGGTATTTTCATCCCTGTAGTTTTCGTCACTGAATTTTTCATCATGATGGAGATTTGCTTCGATTTTAGAGGTGGTTTTAGGCGTTGGATTTTAGAGGAGTGGTGGTGGACGGTGGTTGATGGTGGTGGGATGAGGGTGGAGATTGAGGATGGAAGACTTGATCCGGAGGAGAAGGAAGAATTAAAGCAATCTTGGGAATATAAACAGAAGTGAAATCAGAAATTATACATATTCATATGTTTTGTTGGTTACAAAAGCAAACTATTGATTCAGATTTCAGAAGTTTGTCAGTTTACAAAAACAAACAATCTCACTGATTCAGATTTCAGACTTCAGCACCACCTCTTAAAAATTAGAAATGAAATCAGACTTCAGACTTCAACACCTCTTAAAAAACAAACGCCACCTAAATGTTTATTGACAAGTGTTTATCTGTAAGAGCGTCACTTTCACTTACCTTGTCGAATAACATTTCCAGCTATCAAAATGATTGTTGGTAAGTAACTTTACCTGGTCTTTATTAAATAAAAATCTTATTTTTCACTTATTGGTAAGAATCTCAGTATTTGTTATGTTTTTTATTGAATACGATTTTAAGTTATTATCATATATATTTAAAAAATAAGTGACACTCAGTAAATATTTACCCGATAAACATTTGTGAAATTAATTATGAGAATGATAAATTTCATTCAACACCATCAGGGCATCAAGTCAAAAACAACTTGATATATTTTGTCGGTATTTAATTATTCTTATAATAAATTTAAAAATATCTAAATAGGAAAAAGGTGATGTGGTTCCATTGAGTCAATTCAATTTGACCACCAGATTTGATCGATGACTTGTTTTTGCCCAAATATAATTTATTACAGAATATTAAAAATCAGTTAATAAAAAATTAAAATTAATTGTATTTAATTATAATGATATATTAATATAATAATT